GGAAAGAGCATTTAAAAACGGGTTTCAAGAATGAGATTGGAGTTGCTGCTGGAGTGAGGTGGGTGGTTGACCCTAAAAAATGTGAGAAACAAACCAAAAAATCCTGCTATGCATTAGGAAGGGCTTCTCTGCAGCAGGGTGGTGTTCACATTCAGCCATAACTTTTTCCACCTGCCGAAATAGCTCAGTTGGGAGAGCGTTAGACTGAAGATCTAAAGGTCCCTGGTTCGATCCCGGGTTTCGGCAGATTGGTTTTCCCCTTTTTAGGAGGAAGGGTGGGGGGGGCAAGGGCCGTCCAGGCAGGTTGCCAAGCCGGGGGCCGGCTGGAACTGCGTAGCCCCCTGGGAGCTAACCCCAACAGGGCCTTTTTTGGGGGAGCGGGGGTGACTGTTGCTTTCGCGGCGGTCCTGCCTGGGCTGCAGCTGTGCGAGCCTGTTGCCTAACGAGCCTCCGGCAGGAACCCAGGCTGCCCAAGCTGCACCTCGGGGCTTCTGGAAGTGGAGGCCTCCAATAGCCGCCTTGGGGAAACCCCCCCTCAGCCCGTCCTCGTTAGTATAGTGGTAAGTATCCCCGCCTGTCACGCGGGAGACCGGGGTTCGATTCCCCGACGGGGAGGCCGCTCTGCCTTTTGATATCCCCCCGCGCGAGCCTTTGGCGCTCTGCGGGGGGGGGGAGCCGGGCAAGAGCGACCCGCCCCCCCCCGCTGACGTCCGGCGAGTGGGGGGGGGGCTCAGCGCGCCTCCGTCGGCAGCCGCGCAACGGACCCGCGTGTCCTTGAGCCGCCTGCCTGTCTCTCAAAAGGCCACAGACCCCCCCCCCCCCGCCTCCCCAACGCTGCCCGGGGGCGGGGGCCCCACCTCGGCCCCGCTGCTGCCGGTGCCTCGACGGGCTGCCTCGAGCTTCCCACTGCCCGCCCGCTCCGCTGCGAGCCCCCCCCCCCCCCGCGCCGCCCCTCCCGCCCATTACTCTGGATCCCCCCCTCCCGCCCCCGGTGGATTTATTTCAATGCGCCCCACACAGGGGCAGCGCAGCCCCACTGCCCGCCCCCCCGCCGGGGCGCTGCGGGTCGGTCTGCGCCCTGCATTGTAGCCCCCTCCCCCCGCCCGCGCGCGCGCCCTTTTCTGTGGCGTGGAGAGCGGGGCCGTTGAAGCAACGAGCGGAGCAGCGAGGCATCGCGGGCGGCGCGCGGGCGGCGGGCGTTTGCAGCGCGGAAGGGAGGTGTCCTGGGCCGGCGAAACCATCGTCCCCGGGCGAGCGTCTATCCCCGTCTCTGAGCAGCCACCCGCCAGGCAGGGGATGTAGCTCAGTGGTAGAGCGCATGCTTTGCATGTATGAGGCCCCGGGTTCAATCCCCGGCATCTCCAGCGTTTTCCTCACCCGCCTTCATTTTGTACCAGCAGCCCGTGGCAAACGGGACAACGTCTCAAATGAGCTCTCCCACCTGGAGACGCCATACAAAGATCAGAGAGGGGGTCCACATGGCACCCCTTCCCCTCTCTACAGAGGAAAAAGGACAGCAAGCGGTCTAAAATCCTACCTGCCACATGGGGCCACCCCTAACTCACCCAGCAATATCCTCACTCTCCAGCGACACGCTCAGCCCGGCAGAAGAGTCTGTCCTGTCTCGGGGACTCCCTTTCTGCCCCGCCACCTCCCCCCCAAACATGATACAGTTCTGCGGTGGTCTGGAAGCCTACGTTCGCCGTCCACGTGCATCCGACGAAGCGGGTAGTCGCCCACGAAAGCTTATGCTCCCCTACGTCCGTTAGTCAATAAGGTGCCGCAGGACTCTTTGCCACTGTTTTTGGTGCTCCAGACCAGCATGAATATCTAAATTAAAAAAGCAATAAAATGATGTTTCTAGCAACATGGTAAGAATAGGTCTTATGCACTATTCATTGTTATTCTTCATAATTGTATTGAACCAAAAGTGCTTTACAGACAAGCCTGAAGACAAGTTTCCTGCGGTAAATGGTTTACAATCTTAGTACCAACTCAGGAAAGCATCCCAAAGTACACATTTAAGTGCTTTTCTGAATCAGGGTTTAAGGTCTCAGGCCTGCAATCTGAGCCTCTAGCACAAGCCTCTGCACCAGTGGGGCACCCCATAGATCTAAGTGCAGGAGTCAGCCTTCAGGGGGAAATTCACCCATAGTGCCAGGCACTAGGCCAGGGGTAGGCAAACTGCGGGCCGGAGCCGTTTTAAGCTGGCCCCCAAGTTCCCACTGGGGAGCAGGGTCTGGGGCGTACCCTGCTCCGATGCTCCAGCGGGGGCATCGGGTGAGGGGCTGCACCATGTGGCTCGACCCTGCTCCGGTGCTCCAGCCGGGGCGCCGGGTTGGGGGCCACTCTGGCACTCCAGCCAGGGCACTGGGTCAGGGGCCACACCACACGGCTCCCGGAAGCAGTCGCATGGCCCTGCTCCGGTGCTAGCGGAGTCAGGGGCCGCTCCACACGTAGGAGCTGGCGAAGGGACATGCCACTGCTTCCAGGAGCCGCTTAAAGGTAAGCGCCAGTCAGAGCCTGCACCCCTGAGCCTCTCCCCACGCCCCAACCCCCTGCCCCAGCCCTCATCCTCCTCCCGCTCTCCAAACCCCTCGATCCCAGGACGGAGTACCCTCCTGCACCCCAAACCTCTCATCCCCAGCCCCACCCCAGAGCCCGCATCCCCAGCCAGAACCTGCACCCCTTCCCCCACCCTTGCCCCAGCCCTGATCCCCCTCCCACCCTCCAAACCAGGACCAGCTCGAGGCACCAGCAAACCAAGCACGTGCGTGGGCTGGCACAATTCCAGGAGCGGCATTCTGGATGGTTTTTTTTTTTTGTTTTCTGCTTCGGCAGTTGCGCTCTTGGAGGTTTTTTTTTCTTTTCTGTTTTTTTCTTCGCTTTGGCAGTTGCGCTCTTGGAGGGTTTTTTTTTTTTTTTTTGTTTGAGGCGGCAAAAAAACGAGAGCCGGCCCTGCTCCAAACCCCTCAGTCCCAGCCCAGAGCACCCTCCTACACCCCAAACTCCTCATCCCCAGCCCCACCCCAGAGTCTGCACCGCCAACCAGCACCCTCACCCCACCCCCCGGGCCTCCACCCCAATTTTGTGAGCATTCATGACCCGCCACACAATTTCTATTCCCTGATGTGGCCCTCAGGCCAAAAAGTTTGCCCACCCCTGCACTAGACTCTACACCACTAATGTAGATACATGGCACATAGGGCATGAAAATTAGGCAGGTACCCATGTCTATCTAATCATGCTGTGAAACTCCATCTTGTAGCAAAATGGGTTGTTCTTCAGTTTTTAGATTTGATCATTTTCAAATCAGTCCTGCCGAAATGCACGGCCGATAACTCGCAGAGTAAGCCTACCGTCCCTGCCTGTTTTCAGACTAGGTGATTCACCTTCTACAGCTGAGCTTCTTTCAAGTCTTTTATGTTTCTATAATTAAGGACGCACACAATGCAACCTCTACCCTACAATTCCAGCCCTACTTTGATCAGAAACTAAGGGACCTTTGCTTCAACTAAGCCAACTCGATGTTTGGACTGTTTTTTTTTTTTTAAACCTATTATGATATTATTGGGTAAATGTTAATACAGAAGGAGCTTACAACCCACTTACAGGCTGAAATAAATCCCCAAAGAGAAACCCCGCCCCCTCCTTCTGTAAATTCTATGGGTGTCATGTCTGACCCAATCAGGTAGCTGTTGCTGGGTTTCAGCTCTTTTTCAATTGGTTTTCAGCACTCCTTGTTCTGTGTGTGAACGCTTAGGCAGCTGTATCTTTTGGGTACATGCAAAGAAAGGCTTTTGTAGGTGGAATGAACTAAATACCATCTGAATGAATCATGCAAACAAAGCCTATTTTGTTATGGCCTTGTTGCAGCGCTGGACACTTTGACCGAATGGCTCACAAGGCTCACTTTGGGGAACTCCAGACAAACTCTTCTGTGGATGAGTCATTACAAAACCTAATTTTATCATACTAATTTCCCCCCACTGTTACTCACACCTTCTTGTCAACTGTTTGAAATTGACCACCCTCATTACCACTACAAATGTGATTTTTCCTCCCTTGGTATTCTACTGTTAATTGAATTGTCTTGTTAGACTGACCCCCCACCTGGTAAGGCAACTCCCATCTCTTCATGTACTATGTATAAATATACCTACTACTGTATTTTCCACTCCATGCATCTGATGAAGTGGGTTCTAGCCCATGAAAGCTTATGCCCAAATAAATGTGTAAGTCTCTAAAGTGCCACAAGGACTCCTCATTGTTTTTGCTAATACAGATTAATACAGCTACCATTCTGAAACCATTCTTCCACCTTGTCTTCCTCACATTTCCAAGGCTTTGATCTTCCTCCCTACATGTCAGTCACCATCTGCCATTCTGCCTCTCCTACTCTGCTTTGTGTTTCAGGCCCCCTTTGACCTCAGGGTCTGGATCCCAGAGGAAAAAGAATAGAAGTATTATCAGATGAAATTAGAATGCACGATGCTTCAGGTTTATTTTATTTTATTTTTTCTGCCTTTTTTTCCACATTAATTTTCATGTAGAGATTTGCAATGACCTAGACACACAGAAGAAAACACACAGCTCACACAATGAGACACACAGCCCCAACTCACAATCTAGGGTGACCAGATGCCGCGATTTCATAGGGATAGTCCCGATTTTTGGGTCTTTTTCTTATATAGGCTCCTATTACCCCCCACCCCCTTTCCGATTTTTCACATTTGATGTCTGGTCACCCTATCACAATCACACGCAGGGACGTGTCCCCCAGGTCTATTCCCTGCTCAGGGAACCAGGCTGAGCTGAGACCCCGTTCTAGGCAGGCGAAACTCCAGTCCGGGTTTTACTCCACGCTCCATCTTCCGTTCCTTGGCCCTTGCCGTCATCGGATCATGTCACACACTGAGCGGCCGGCTGATTCCTCCGCACTGCCGACCGGAACTCGCCCCCGTGCCCATGCTGGGTGCACGCGCCAAGATGCAGTGAGACGAGATAGTCCCCGGCGGAGGGATCTCAGCTGGGGAGGAAGAGGCTATATAAGGACCGCGCCAGCGTTGTCACGCAGTTACATCCCCGTGACCCTCAGTGAGTGTTGTTTTGTTGTCTGTCTGGAGCGCCGTCCCTGCGGTGAGTGGGCAACGGGCCTGGCTAGCTGTTGGGCTTCCGTGGGGGGCGAGTCCGGCCTGAGGGAAAAGAGGGTCCGAAGCTGTGCGGAGAGCCCAGCCCGGTGGCTACGTTTATCGAGGGCGGCGGCGGGGGTGTATGGCTCGGGCCGTCGCGGATATTGTGGGGGGAGGGGTTGGTGTCGATCGTGAGGCGCCTGGCGATGGGCTGGGGGGAGCGGGCGGGGCGGGGCGCGGAGGCAGCTCTCTGCGCTCCCTGCCGTGTAGGGAGGCGGCTGTGCCGTAGCGCGGCGGGGGGGACCTGCGGAGCGCGGGCTGAGGCAACCGGCTCGCTGCCCTAGGAGCGGCGAATGGCGGCTCCCTGGTTGAAGGGGGGACTAGAGTCGGGCCGGCGCTAAAATGGCGGTCTGGGCGCGCGGGAGGCCCCGCCCCTGCAGGGCCGTGGGCTGCCCCGCGCCTCTGACGCCCGCCTGCCGGGGGGCGGGGTTAGGGACCGGCTCCTGGGCCCGCCTGAGCGGACCTGCCGGCGCGGTTGTTTGGCACGGAGTGGCCCATTGCATTGGGCGCGGCTGGCCAGCCGTACTGACGTAGTGGCCCTGTGGTACTGGTGTTATCTCAGTGTGACGCAACTCACTGTAGTGGGGCCTTGGAGTGAGCTTTGGAGGAGGAAGTAGCCTACGGGGGGGGTGAGAGGACACAAAGTGGAGCTGCAATTCAAGGTGTGTACTGGTGTCAAAAGCTCTCTACCCTGCTTGATGATTAAGCGAAAGGGTAAATCCGTACTTTTCTGATTTCTTGTGATGTAACGTTAGTATTTTGGAGTACAAAAAGGCTTATATGCTTCATAACTTCTATTTTTGTACAGAAAATGCAGATCTTTGTGAAGACCTTGACGGGCAAAACCATCACCCTAGAGGTGGAGCCCAGTGACACCATTGAGAATGTCAAGGCCAAAATCCAAGACAAAGAAGGCATTCCTCCAGATCAGCAGAGGTTGATCTTTGCCGGAAAGCAGCTGGAAGATGGACGCACCCTGTCCGACTACAACATCCAGAAAGAATCCACCCTGCACTTGGTCCTGCGCCTGAGAGGTGGTATGCAGATCTTTGTGAAGACCTTGACGGGCAAAACCATCACCCTAGAGGTGGAGCCCAGTGACACCATTGAGAATGTCAAGGCCAAAATCCAAGACAAAGAAGGCATTCCTCCAGATCAGCAGAGGTTGATCTTTGCCGGAAAGCAGCTGGAAGATGGACGCACCCTGTCCGACTACAACATCCAGAAAGAATCCACCCTGCACTTGGTCCTGCGCCTGAGAGGTGGTATGCAGATCTTTGTGAAGACCTTGACGGGCAAAACCATCACCCTAGAGGTGGAGCCCAGTGACACCATTGAGAATGTCAAGGCTAAAATCCAAGACAAAGAAGGCATTCCTCCAGATCAGCAGAGGTTGATCTTTGCCGGAAAGCAGCTGGAAGATGGACGCACCCTGTCCGACTACAACATCCAGAAAGAATCCACCCTGCACTTGGTCCTGCGCCTGAGAGGTGGTATGCAGATCTTTGTGAAAACCTTGACAGGCAAAACCATCACCCTAGAGGTGGAGCCCAGTGACACCATTGAGAATGTCAAGGCCAAAATCCAAGACAAAGAAGGCATTCCTCCAGATCAGCAGAGGTTGATCTTTGCCGGAAAGCAGCTGGAAGATGGACGCACCCTGTCCGACTACAACATCCAGAAAGAATCCACCCTGCACTTGGTCCTGCGCCTGAGAGGTGGTATGCAGATCTTTGTGAAAACCTTGACAGGCAAAACCATCACCCTAGAGGTGGAGCCCAGTGACACCATTGAGAATGTCAAGGCCAAAATCCAAGACAAAGAAGGCATTCCTCCAGATCAGCAGAGGTTGATCTTTGCCGGAAAGCAGCTGGAAGATGGACGCACCCTGTCCGACTACAATATCCAGAAAGAATCCACCCTGCACTTGGTCCTGCGTTTAAGGGGCGGTAACTGAACTTGCTCCTGTTAGCATCTGAATAGAAATTTCACTGCACCTTGTTCCAATAAAGCTTGCATTCACAAGTTCTTTGTCTGTCCCTTTGTAATGTAAAGGTGCACTCATTTAGTCAGACTTGATTCAGTGAGCTAGAATTGTATAATGACACAGCTGGCAAATTTTTTATTCGATTATTCCAACTGTAAAAGCATGTCCGCTGTTGATAAAGGTGGTAAAATGGACCACTGAGTCATAAGGTACTTCTGAGATGTCTGGAATCTAGTTTCTTGTGGCTGAGCTTTATCAGTTACTAGAGTCTGACTAACCTTTAAAGGTTGCTATTGAAGAATAAAACAGCTTGTCTGTGGGTTTTTTTAAATTACAACCAAGTTAAAATTGGGTAAGGTGGTCTCACCTGACCCCTACTGCATGCTGGGAAGGAATTCATTTTAATAGCTGTAACAAGTTGGGCACATATTGTATAGAGCAGTGTGTTGCAATCCATGGGTTACGACATGTAAGGTGCTGGGTCGCTTTGATCTGGTCAGCACTGCCAACCGGGACATTAAAAGTCCTGGTGTTTCCCAGCTAAGGCAGGCTAGTGCCTACCTTTTCTGACACTGCACTGTGCCCCGGAAGCAGCCAGCAACAGTCTGGCTTTTAGGCAGGGGGGGCCACTGTGTGCTGCCCCCACCCTGAGCACTGGCTCCACACTTGGGCCAATGGGAACCTGGGGGGACGGGCGGGCAGGCCCACTGGGTGTGGGTGAGTCACGTGGAGCTGCTTGTGTGCTTCCACCTAGGAGCCAGACCTGCTGCTGAACGCTTCTGGCGTGCGGCATGGTCCACAGTGCACCTCTGGCTGCACCACTGAGCTATCGGAGGTAAGTCTGTGCCTGAGCCTTCCCAAACCCAGATCCTCTACTGCATCCCAAACCTCCCAGCCCAGAGCCTTTATCCTCTCCTGAGCCCCACCAAACCCAGAGACCATTCCCACATCCTGACCCCCTTATTCTCATCCCTGAGCCCCTCCACCCCAAAACCCTCATCCCCAGCTCTGTTGGGTCACTGGCATCGACAATTTTCTTCAACTGGGTCCCCAGAAGAGAAGTTTGAAAACCGCTGGTACAGAGTACACTAGCTAAGGCCTCAAGTCTAGTGTAAACATTTTGCTGCTACATTTAGCAATAAAAGATGAGGATGCTTGATATCTTCTCCCCGCCCAATAATTGGGGTGAAGAGAACTTGAAGTATGTTAAAATTTCAACAATGCATCTGCATCTCTAATACAGGAATGCAACACCCTGGTTTGAAATAGTGAATTAAATTGAGCAGTAGTTTTGTTTCCAGTACAGTGCTAGAAATGCTGCTGCTGAAAACCCATGGAACTAGAAGGGAATTCAAGGAGTTGGTGGTAATTAGAAACATTCTGAGGGATCTAACCTAGTCCTAAGTGATCTGTCTCGGTGTGGATGGGCTCTTCTAATTAGAGATGGAAAAACGGGAGTCTCAAATGCCTCTTCCTTGAAATGCTTTGATTGTTGGTAGGGACAAATTTATATGGAACATTGTGAATGCTATGGAACCCTATCTTCTGTTTGTGTAATCTACTGGTAGAGCAGAGTAATGCATCACATTAAATACACAGTTGCTTAATGAGTTTATGGTGACTACGCTGTCTCCTGTTCCTGGTCTGTGCAGGAGTCAAGGCCTGCTGTTTAGACTGCAATCAAAAGTTCCTGAGGCCTTCAAGGAGACAGGGAATCTGCATTGGTAGTTCAACATGTGACGTTAGCTTCTGAGACTGCTGATGGTGTGCTAGGAGGATGCTGGAGAATTGTATATTTTGAATAAATGTGTAACTAAGGTTCTGACCACTGGGAACAAAATTATTGTGGGAAACTTTGGAAAAATGTTAGGCCAGGCCCTCTGGGTGAGTTTAGCCTACATAAAGTCACTATGTAACTTCAAATATTTTTTCCCAACTCCTGTCCTAGGGGAGCACATGGTGTGGGTGCCAATCTACTTCAAAGCAGTGATTTCTAATTGAGAGTACCTCTGATGTAATTCAGATTACTTGTATGATAAACTAATGTGTTACAGTGCTTTGAACATAAAGCACTATTTAAAGACTAAGAATCAGGATAGATTGATTTAAATCCATTTTAATAAACTTTTCCATTTGTATTTCAATTATTTTCTAAAGGGAGGTGCATTCTCATTGCTTAATATAAACATTAGAACATGCTGATTTGAAACTAGATAGAGCCTTTACACTAGATTTTTTTGGTACCTGTTTTTGTTTTCTGGGAGGGAACATTTTATTTATATATATAAATTAAGCAACTACATAGCTTAATATTTTTGCATTCTTAATTGTTCTCAGTACATTAGAAAATGGTGAATGATTCATTGTTTACTAATTTTTCCTCATGATTTGTGATAACTGGAATTTAAACACAAAACAGCATAACGTTTATTACTGAACAAAAGCCCTTAATACAGCACATGCCTGAAGCGGCCAGCTGCACTGACATAACTCCACCTCCATGAGAGTCGCAGCGCTTATGTCGATGTAGTTAGGATGATGCAGTATGGGTGTAGACTGTGCTACTTAAATCACCTGTTGGCTGTCTGCCTCAAAGGGGGCTGACAGCTGGAGCCCTCCCTTGACCTCCAAAGCTGACAGCCCAAACTCACTCAGGTGCTGGGTTGGCAGGTGTGAGACCTCCTTGCGTGCTGACAGCCCAAGTTGTTAGCCAGAAATTAGGCTGACAGCTTGGGGGAGGCAGGGGCCGCTGTGAACCCCGCATGTACAACTGAGGCGGTCAGCCCCAGACTCCAGCTGCCAGTGTCACACAATATCTCACTTCAGTCTGTGGAAGTGCATGTGGTGAGGATGTGCACCCCTGACAGAAGAAGCAAGTGTGGGAAGTGAACCATTGCTTTAATTACTGCAGTGGCTGTCTGTCGACTTAATTTTGTAGTGTCCACTAGCCCAAAGTGTCATGTCCTGGATTTAGCCGAAGCTGGTGGTGGTGTTGTCTGAGCCCTGCTTTCTGGCCTCATGTGGTTAGACCATTGTTTAAGATCAGGCTGATGAAGGCCCAGTGGTATCATGGTGGGTTCCAGGTGACTGGGGTGGCAGCTATCCCAGTAAAGCTTGCAGCTTTTGGCCCCCTGGCTCCTTTGAATGGCCACAAAGAGACTTCAGCTTCATCCTGTGAACATTAACCTTCTGAGACACTTTTCAGTGATATCAGCTGTAAGCATTTCCTCCCACTTCTAGAATCTTTCAGCACACTGTCATCTCAGCATGTGGTTTCACTAGGAGCCTTGGAAAAAGATCACTTATAGTTTAACTTTGAACCAGTTTGCCTTCACCTTTTGCTGATTTTCATAAAAAATTTTCTAGAACAGTCTGAACTGGACTTTTGTTAGGTTGGCTGATTTAGAATACAGGGCTCTGCATAACTGGACCCAATTCTATGGTCCTTATTAGGTAAAACTCCAGTTGGAACCAATCAATAGTTGTTTTGCCTCAGCATAGACTTCAAAATTGAGCCCGTAATTATTACACAGTTGATTTGAAATATAAGGCCTGGTACTAGTAATGTTATGATTTAAAAAAAAACAATTATATGAATGTCAGTGCTGCAGCAAGCTGCAGGCTTGACAGCTGTGAGATCCAACGCCTTTCTTTGTTCACAGAAACAGCCTAGGATACTGGAAGGACAGCATTTGTGCAAGCTCATCAATTCTGCCTTGCCAGTGGGCCTCAGCTACACCCCTGGTGCTGGCAGCACCGCTTCTGGCATGGGAGTTTAGTTTGCCTCCAGGGTCCATTTGCTTCCTGGCCTCTCTATGGAGACTGAGTACCAGCTAGTGCCAAATGACAAGGAAGTTGTGTGACCCGGACACCTACCCATCACGAACCAGGACTCGCTCAAAGCGAAAAAAATTACAAGAACTCCCAGTGCCTTATACAAGATTTCACAGATTCTCATGGGTCTCTTAGAGTGGATTGTTGGGAAAAAAAAAACCCAGAAGTATATTTGTCCTGGGGGTTGGGAGGGGCAAGATTAGAGAAAAGCACCTCAGGATCTTGAGGGAGGAGGCGGGGAGAGACTGGAGAAAAACTCCCCAGGATCCTGGGGGAATGGTGAGGATAGGGTTGCCAACCTTCCATGATTACCCTGGAGTCTCCAGGAATTAAAGATTAATTTTTAATTAAAGACTGTCATGTGATGAAACATCCAGGAATAGTCCAACCAAAATTGGCCACCCTAGTTGGGGAGTTGGAGAAAAACTGCCCAGGATCCTGGGGGAGGAGGTGGGGAGGGTTGGAGAGAAGCTCCCTGGGATCTGGGGTGGTGGTGGTGGTGGAGAGAAGCTCCTTGGGAGCTGGAGGGGGGGGGTGGAGGAATTGGAGAACAGCTCCCCAGGATCCTGGGGGAGGGGGTGGGGGAGTTGGAGAAAAGCTCCCCAGGATCTGGGGTGTGTGTGTTGGAGACAAGCTCCCTGGGATCTGGAGGGGGGTGGTTGGAGAGAAGCTCCCTGGGATCTTGGCGGTGGGAGGTTGCAGAAAAGCTCCCAGGATCCTAGGGGAGGAGGTGGGGGGGGGCTGGAAAAAAGCTCCCCAGAATCTTGGAGGGGTTGGAGAAAAGCTCTCCAGGATCTTGGGGGTGTGTGTGTGTGGTTGGAGAATAGCTCCCCCGGAACTCTCGGGGGGTGGGGTGGAGAAAAGCTCCCCAGGATCTTGGTGTGTGTGTATGGGGTGGGGTGGTTGGAGAAAAGCTCCCCGGGATCTGGGGGGAGGGAAGGTGGGGGAAATGGAGAACAGCTCCCCAGGATCCTGGGGGAGGAGGTGTGGGGGGGTTGGAGAGAAGCTCCCTGGGATCTGGGGGTGGGGGGAGGATTGGAGAGAAGCTCCCCAGGATCTTTGTGGTGGTGGTCGGGGGGTGTTGGAGAGACGCTCCCCGGGATCTGGGGGGAGGGGAGGTGGGGGGGTTGGAGAACAGCTCCCCAGGATCCTGGGGGAGGAGGTGGGGGGGTGGAGAGAAGCTCCCCGGGATCTGGGGGGAGATCCTGGGGGAGGGCGTGGGGGGGTTGGAGAAAAGCTCCCCAGGATCGTGGCGGGGGCGGATTTCTGGAAAAACGCTCCCCAGGGCGGCTCCTGTGACGGGGACTGTTGAGAGAACCGCCCCCGCCTCCTGCTCCTCGGGGCGGGGAACAGCCTCGCTCGGGTCCCCCTAGCCAGAGGCCGCGGCGGCCGGGGGCGGGCGCGGCCCTTCCCGCCGAGCGCTGGGCAGAGCCGGCCGAGGGGGCGGGCCCGGCCCGTCGCGGGCGGAGGGAATAAAACCGCGGAGTCGGCCGCGAGGCCCGGCTGGTGGCTGCGCCTCTCTGCTCGCCATGGCCGCTCCCGCGGGGCGCAGAGTCCCCCTGGCGCTGGGGCTGACCGGGCTGGCCTTCGCCCTCTTCGGCCTCGTCCTGTTCTTCGTCCTGCCCAGCGTGGTCCGGGACCAGGTCATCAAGGTGATACCCGCGCCCTGGGCTCGCCGTGCGGGGGGGTGCATCCTGCGCTGGAGCCAGCCGGGCTGGCGACCCCTTTGCCTTCCCCCATCAAAGGCTGGGGGCGGCGGCGGCGGCACCAGGTTCCCCCCCGCTAATATCTGTATCGTGCCCCTCTCGCCTCCAGATCCGCCTTGCCGGGCTCGCTCGAGCTCCAGCCTCCCTGCGTGCTGAGGTGCTGACCGGGCTGATGTTTCAAATCTCCCTCCGCTGAGGCTCCTAGAAGTCTCGGGCTGGAAGGGACCCCATTAGGTCACCTAGCCTGATCCCCCTGGCAGGGCTGGGGAACCCTTTTCCTACCCAGAAGGGATGGGGGCACACAGGACAGGCGAAGTGGGCTGCAGCTGGCTGGGTAATGACATGTCCCCATGTGGGGCGAAGGGCAGACTACCCCCGCTAGCCCAGGGTTGATTGACACGACACCCCATCTGTCCTCTCTAGTGCCCCAGGAACAGTGAATTCTGTTCTAGTTAGTCAACTCTTCTTCATTGACCCTGCCAGGTGCTGGCCCCTCTAGCTCCCCCCTGAAATCAATAAGCGTTAAAGCTGGTCCATAGAGGATACTAAGGTAGAAAGGAGTCAGTTCTGGTGAGGAGTAAACAAGGTGAGGGGACAAATACTACTGACATGAAGTATTTCTGTATGCTCATGTGAGGAGTTGGGCTCAGATGCACAAATGACCGACTGGGGGGTTCTGGTCAGCCGTGGCTTGTGACCTGAAGCACTCCTCTGTCCCCTTGGTCTGGGGATGGCTTGGTGGGGGAATGAGCAGGGTGGGGGTGTGAGGCTCTCACACTTCCCCACAGTATCTTTTTTTTTTTTTTTTTTCTCTGCTCCTTGTGCATATGGTTAAAATTTGCCTTCCTTCCCATCCAGCATTACAGGAGTGATGTCTGGGTGCTGGGGCTCTCTGCTTGCATGCTTCCTCCTTCCCCGCTAAAATGCATTGGTAACATAACCCATTAGGAGTGCTTCAGAAACATGACCTACTTCTCTGTTAGGTGAAAAACTTTGTCACAAAAGCTTTTCTGTCCTGCTCCAGATATGGATGACTTTGGCTGATTGACTTTCAGCTCTTAAAGATGTACTATACTGAGCAATGCTAATGGACCCCCAAGTCCTAGATAGTAACACTTCTGTAAACTATTGCTGTACTGAGTATTGTAATAAATCATGCATTGCCCCTTATGCGTTCAAAATGCTAACCATTACTGAAGCGAAGGATGCTGTAGAAAGCTCGGGGTTCGTGCTAAAAAACTCCTACCTGCGCTGTAGTATATTTTAAGGTCTCTGTTCCCTTCCCAAGCAACACTAGTTCTAATTGCTTCGTGACATAACGGCAGCATTTGTTAATGAAAATGAAGTATTTGGTCCATGGGATAGGTAGCAATAGAAGACCAGAAGGTTTCAGAGTAACAGCCGTGTTAGTCTGTATTCGCAAAAAGAAAAGGAGTACTTGTGGCACCTTAGAGACAAACCAATTTATCTGAGCATAAGCTTTCGTGAGCTACAGCTCACTTCATCGGATGCATTCTGTGGAAAATATAGAAGATGTTCTTATACATACAAACCATGAAAAAATGGGTGTTTACCACTATAAAAGGTTTTCTCTCCCCCCACCCACTTTCCTGCTGGTAATAGCTTATCTAAAGTGATCACTCTCCTTACAATGTGTATGATCAAGTTGGGCCATTTCCAGCACAAATCCAGTTTCTCCCCCCTCACCCCTCCCAACAAACCCACTCTCCTGTTGGTAATAGCTTATCTAAAGTGATCACTCTCCTTACAATGTGTATGATAATCAAGGTGGGCCATTTCCAGCATAAATCCAGGTTCTCCACCCCCAACCAGAAGGGTTAGCACAAAAGAAATATAAGTAGACCCCCCAAACCTGTACAAATTAGGGCTATGTGAAAAGCTGCTACATTCCTTTTCCCTGAAATTTCCTGCCTCTACCCCTGTTGGCAACAGTGATCAGGATTTCAAGTTCACGAGAAACTTTGGCATTTCAAAATATGGTTCTGTTTTGAATTACAACAAAACCAGACATTCTGGAATGGTGTTTCCAAATGAAAATTTGGTCTACCCGACCACCCTTCAGCTATGGAGTGAATGACATTGTTTATTGCAACAGTGACACTGTCAGCAGATGCCAGTTTCACTCCAAAGCTGCTGGGGCTCTCAGGGCCTGTGACATGAGGGCAGCAGCCAAACCATGAGTCTGCCTTGGGGCAGAGACTCCGGAGCTTCCCAGCTCGCAGGCTAGCTGTGTTTTATCACTAAGTTTCTGACTAGGTCTCCTGCCAATACTTTACCTACATTCTGCTAGCTCTAATTGGTGGCTGCTGGAATCTTTTCCCCCTGTGCTGTGTAGACCCTCTTTAAGCAGGGAAAGATGATGTTTTGATTTAAAACAACAACAAAAAAAAAACCCTTGTGCCTGCTTTACTCTAGTGCTACCACTGATGAAGCTGCAATGGTTCAAACTTGTCTAGTATAGACAATGTCATAGAATCATAGGATTGGAAGGAACCTTGAGAGATCTTCTAGTCCAGTCCCCTGCACTCAAGGCAGGGCTAAATATTATCTAGACCATCCCTGACTGGTGTTTGTCTAACCTGCTCTTAAAAACCTTCAGTGACAGAGATTTCACAACCTCCCTAGGCAATTTATTCCAGTGTTTAGCTACCCTGACAGTTTGGAAGTTTTTCCTAATGTCCAACTTAAAAATCTCTCGATGCAGTTTAAGCCCATTGCTGCTTGTCCTATCCTCGGAGGTTAACAAGAACAACTGTTCTCCCTCTTCCTTGTAACAGCCTTTTATGTACTTGAAATCTGTTCTCATATCCCTCCTCAGTCTGGGATCCTTCAGAGACTTTTATATAGCATCTTTCGTAAGTTGTTATGCTGCCATTGAGAATAGATCACTGGAGGGTGACTTTTTTTCCCTAACAAAGCAGTGTGATTTTAAGTTTCCTCAACTTTTCATTAGGTGTTTTTAAATTTCATTTTGACAAGGGAGCATGTCCTGACTGCATAGGACTTGTTTAAACTTGTGAGGTTAACTAATATAATATAATTAATGGCTTCTTTTAGCAGGTTTTGCCCTCAGCATCAAGTAACATCCTGGATGACCCGCAATAATTCTTGTGGTGAAAGATCAACTTTATTGATTGTACTAGGTAGCATGTGTTCCATTACATTCATCTGGATAGAGTCAGAGCTGCTCACTTGACATAGGCCCTATATTGCTAAGAGCTAAAGGAGATTTTCTTTAGCTCAAGTGATAGGAGGCCTGCCCTCTTGGAGCAGGAGGGATCTGAGATGTACTTTTACTGTTGCTGTCAAGTTCCAGTGGTGGCCATGGCATGTGGCTTTGTGATAGACATAAAACTCTAAGTGGCCATAGATTGTGACAGTATTTAGAGTCATCAGGAAGCCGTACAAGCTAGAGACTTAAATACTTGTTTTATGACACTAGTGTGTTACATTCTAGCGCCTTTTAGCCTGGGATTTCAGAGGAGCCAAGGAGTTGGGCACCCAAATCCCCTTTAAAGTGATGGAATATGGCTGTCAGGGTCCCTTAGTCTCCTTTAAAATCCCAGCCTTAGGACATGCTGTACTTCAGAGCATTTTTATTCCTGTAAAATGCTGACAAGTCACTTTCTTTAGTTTTGGCCGAATCAAACCTTGAGGTGCAGTTCAGCATTCAGGCCATATGTGTTTGGAGTGGGTGAGTAGGTGCTTGTATGGCGCTCACAGGACTTGAATACAAGTACCTAGATAGCAGACTCCTGCTTACAATATCTGTGTAATGTGGTGCTGTCCTTACGGGGTGTTTGGTGAAAAATTTGAAGCCTCATGCTGGGCTTTCCCCCTACTAGGGTCCTGGGCGACTGCTCTCAATAGTAGAAGTGCTCAGCAATGGAAAGTTGCTTGTTGAACTTCCTGAACTGGCAATGGTGGAGCCAGCTTCTTAGGCAGTGGCTGTGGTGGCTGCTGCCGCTTGCTCCTGAGGTCGAAGATCGTCTTAACAGCATATTTAATGCAATGCCTAGGATGCCAGTGAAGTTAATATGCTTGTTATGTAGCAGGTCAAAGATTATAATACCAGGTGCCTGGCAGCAAGAGGTTCTCTTATGCTAAATGGGATTTCTGAACACGTGATGTTGACTTGGGAATCAAGAGTATCTAAGGTCCAGGGAAGAGATAGTGAGATGAACTGGCTGACACTTCGAGATGTGTGGCAAAGATAGCAAGAAATTGGATATTGAGGAGACCTTCCCCCTCCTCTATTCCTCGGCCTTTTACTAGCATGATATAATTTTAATACCTTATTTCTCCTTCCTCTTATCCCATTTGCAAAATTTATACTTGTGTAACTGATTGAGGTTTGCCGTGATAACACAGTAAAGGATTCAACATATGCAAGTCTTAATCTTTTTAAATGGTTTTAGACCAGCCGTCAATAACTAGGGTTACTGATTAACTGCCTCCAGGTAGCTTGGGCTCTTTCTTATTTCCCTGAATACCAGCATGAGTAAACCTTAGTATAAATCGGTCAGTTATACTTGCCCCTGGACGTTTATACTGAGGAAGTGTTCTACATTCCATAAAAACATATAGAGCACCAGCATGATTGTAGTGGGGTGACTGGAACTGGGACAGTCATGAGTGGCAGCTGTCTCAGACTTGCTACAAGGACTTAGTGATTTACTTTGTACGAAACGTCAGCCTCTCGGAGATCTGGCCTTCCTTCGCTCATTCTATTCCAAAGCTGTGTTGGATGCTCCTCTGACATGTTGGCAGGACGGACTAAGACACCCCAGCACTCTGAGCTGTTAGACTCTCTGATACACGAAAGGATGTGCGCTCTGGCTCCATCAGGTGCTGCCTGCTGGGTTGCCCCAGAGATTTTCCAGATCTAGGAATGTCTTTGTGTGATGCCATCAACTGTAGTTATT